CACACCCCACACATACACTACACACACACACACACATATCACAGCATTCCAGTTCTAAAATCTGAAACTTCCTCCCTGGAGGCCCTCAAATGCCCCAAAGCTATCCTGAAAGGTTATTTGGGTGCCCCCAATCTGCATACAAAGCCCCTCTGCATCCCTAGGTAGAGCTTCCTTGTCAGCCAGCCAGGAACTGCCCAGCCCTGCAGTTCCTGCTTGGCTTGGGCCTCCTTCCCTCCCTCTCCACCTCCCTCTTTCCCCCATCTGGGCTGCAGGGAACAGAGCTCTTCCATCCTCCCTGGGGCTTGAAAGCAGAGAAGAGGAGAGAAAACCAAGAGGCTTATTCATGTCAAGGGCCCCTAGAGACCTGAAATGGAGACACTGCACCCCTCAGAGGGAGGTCTGTTCACACCCACTGGATCAGGGGCCCCCCTTAGCTCACAAGGACCTCAGCTTGGCCAGCCTCCGGGCTTCCCTTCAGCTGCATGTTCCACCATTCCCCAGGCCCAGGACACCCGTGTGTGTGAGACCTGCCCTTCCCAGTCTAGCCCTGGTCTCTCAAGCCCATGTCCCTCTACACATGCTGTTCCTTCTGCTTTGGATGCCCTTTCCTATCTTTTCTACCTGGAGAGTTACCTCATCCTTCATCCTTCAAGGTCATCTCTGCCAGGAAGCCTTCTGATGACACTTCTTCAGGTATTCATAGCTCCTTTGTTCAAAGCATTTGTCACACTACATTTAAACATTTTTTTTATTTATTTATTTTTTTAATTTTACTTTTTTTGGGGGGCCATCTGACTACACTGCCCTGGTAAAGTGGCATGGCCTCATAGCTCACAGCAACCTCAAACTCTTGGGCTCAAATGATCCCCTTGCCTCAGCCTCCTGAGTAGCCAGGACTTTAGACGTGTGCCAGCTAGTTTTTTCTATTTTTTAGTAGAGATGGGCCTCACTCTTGTTCAGGCTGGTCTCGAACTTCTGAGTTCAGGCAATCTACCCACTTTGGTCTCCCAGAGTGCTAGGATTACAGATGTGAGCCACTGCGCTTAGCGCATTGTATTTTAGTGATTAATAAGCTCAGCTTCCTTATTAGAGTTTGAGCGAAGGGGTAGGGGACTGGTTTAATCCACAACCTCTGCCATAGTAGATGCTCAAGAAATACTTGTCTACTGAATGCACAATGTCATGAATGGGGCAGAAAGATAGAATTAAGTAGAGAGGACACCAAGTCTCTGAGGAAGAAAGGGAAGTACAGCCATAGATTTCAAAGAAGGCTTCCTGGAGGAAGGGAACAGGTGGAGACACCTTAGGCAAAGGGAAATGACTGATCAAGGCACGGAGAAGCCTTAACAAAGGGCCTCACTCAGGAATAGGAATACTAGTAGCCAGTGTTCTCTGGGGGTCTACTCTGTACCAGGCCTTACTCTAGGCCTCTATACATATTATTATCCCCTTCATCTTCATAATGACCACAGGAGTTAGTGGACCAAATTATTACAGAGAATTGGAACAATCAGGAGTAACACAGAACGCAGGAGTTGACCTTATATGATGGGGTGAGGGTGCCGCCTGAAGAGTTAATGCTCCAAGTCTAGAGTAAACATGGCAGAGTTGAGGAAAGCAGGCCAGGTGTGAAGTGGGGAGAGCAAGGATAAAGTGAACCAGTGTGGAAGAGCTGGGACCCTGGAGGATGACAGGGAGCCACATCCAAGCCATCAACTTTGATGGCGTTGGTGAACTGCAGAAGCCTGTGGCCCCAGCCCTGCAGCTAAACACACACCTGGCCCAGGAGCTAGACAAACTGAAAAGGAAGGAGATCAGTGGAGAATCCACAGACCCACAGCAACATGCACAAGCTGGGCTCCACGCCTATAGCTTAAGCGACCAGGGCGCTAGCTACATACACTGGAGCTAGCAGGTTCGAATCTAGCTTGGGCCTGCCAAACAACAATGACAACTATAACCAAAAAAAAAAAAAAAAAAGCCAGATGTTGTGGCAGGCACCTGTAGTCCCAGTTATTTGGGAGGCTGAGGCAGGAGGATTGCTTAAGCCAGTGGTTCTCAACCTTCCTAATGCTACGACCCTTTAATACAGTTTGTCATGTTATGGTGACCCCCAGCCATAAAATTATTATTTTTGTTGCTACTTCAGGTGTTGCTACTTCATAACTGAAGTATGTTTTCTGATGGTCTTAAGTGACCCCTGTGAAGGGGTCATTCATTCAACCCTCAAAGGAGTTGCAACCCACAGGTTGAAAACTGCTGGTTAAGCCCAAGAGTTTGAGGTTTCTGTGAGCTGTGATGCCACAGCACTCTTCCCAAGGCAACAGCTTGAGACTCTGTCTCAACAAAACAAAACAAAACATGCATGAGCTGGAGCCCTGTGCCGATCTCAGAAACAAAGTATAGCTGCTGCGTCCCCTCCTACAGCCAAGACCATGCAGGGAAGGGGATTCTGGGCCTGGGGCTCAGCTCAGCTGACACAGCATAAGCTTCTACTTCAGGTCACATAGCCAGTACCCGGTGGGTCTGGATCCCAACCCAGAGTGTGTTTGTGCAGAAAAGAAGTAGCCAAGAATGTTGACCAGGAGGGTCTTGGGTGGCTGCCGAATGAGTTCAGGATGTCTTCTGTGGGATAACAGTGCTGGTTTCAGAGACTATGTGTTGAGTTGGAAGTGAAGATGAGACATGAACCTGGCAATGACCTGAAGTATTTCTAGGTGGCAGGGCAGGAAGAGGTACACGTGGGACCTCTAGGTGAGTTGTGAATGGGGTGGTGGGAGGTGTGTATGAGACCACGAGGCCTGGGCTCAGCTCAGGTGATGCCTGCAGGTATAGGCAGAAAGGCTGACAGACTGTGAGGGACCAAGGTCAGGGTGTAAGTGGATAAGGGAGGCAGAGCTCTGGAAGATAAGTAGAGATCGTTTTTTGGGTGTGAACATTCTAGCTCCTCCTTCCAGGGCAGACGCAGCTCTGATGGTACCTGTGCCACATGCAGGGTTGAGCAGTGGAGAGCCTCTACCCTCCTGGAAGCTCAGTGCACTGGCACCTGAGGATTGAGACAATCCTTAGGGCTTGGGGTGTGATATTAATCCATCCCAGGTGCCTTCTGAGGCCCTACTGTGTGCAGGACAGGTGCTGGGGCTGAGGGCCAACCAGGAAGCTCACGTGCCCAAGGCCTCCCCACACACTGCAGTCACACCAGAAAGGGAGGCTCTATACCGGGGAGAATGTTCAGGGAGAAGTGGCTTTTAAAGATGAATTCAATCAAGCCTCTAGATCTAACCACCAGTGAGGGGAAATCCAGAAGACAGCACTACAAAGGGACCTACAGAGCCACCAACACAGTGTCCTTATACTGGATAGGAAAACAGAATAAGAGTGAATCTATGGGTAAGTAGCAGTTAATGTGACAGCTCATTGGAATGTGTGAACCTCATTTGGATCTTAATTTTTTAAAAATTATGACATTGATGAATTAGTACTTTGAAAGCTTTCGGGATATTTAATTATATTGGGAAATTATTGCTGAATATCTCTCATGGTGTGATGATAATGGTAGTATTATTTCATGTGTACACAGGTATACAACATATAAAACAATATTACTATTATAAATGTATATGTATGAATGTCCATTTATGTGGGTGCATACATATACATTTTTTATTTAAAGAGTCCTTATCTTTTAGATACACACTGAAATATTTATGGATAAAATCTCTGACATCTGGCATTTTCTTTAAAATGGTATGGAGAAAGATAGCAGATGTGGCCACAGCTGGGACAGGGGACTGGCTATGTGTTGAGGGTTGTTGAATCTGAGTTACTGGTTCATTAAGGTGCATTATACTATTCTGTATATACTATTCTGTCCACTTCCGCTTATGTTCTGAATTCTTCATAATAACAAGTAAAATCAAAACCAAAAAAGTGAAGAGGATGGGTGAGATTCAGGGCTGGGGCAGGAGCCTGACATCTGATGGAAGAAACGGCTCAGGCGGAGCTGAGAGGGGGTGAGACTGCGGGGCATGTGAGGTCCCCAGGGTACACAAGTTGCTGGAGCATGAAGCTGTGCCAGGCGCTTCAGGTACCAGATGACTAAGGCTCAGTCCCTACCCTCCAGGACAAAGACCAGTCCTGGCTCAGGACAAGCAAAACCAGACCAAGTGGGAGAGCCCCGAATGGCCTGTGAGGCTTAAACAAGGGGAGCAGAGGCAGTGGCCATTTGTTCTGGAAGGGCTGAGAGACCGGGTGGTACCAGAGGCATCAGGCAGAGAAAACGCAGCAGGAGCAGGGAAGCCTGAGGACAGAGCAGCAGGAATGTGGTCATCAGGCTCTCAACACATCTTTGCTGGGTTGTAGGATTCACACTGCCCTTTGCTTTGGAAATATGACTTCTCTGGTATTCTTCATGAGTAACCTTGCACAAGTTATTTATCCTCTCTGAACCTTACTTTCTTTGTGGATAAAATGGGGATAGGAATAGGGCCCACCTCATAGGGTTGTTATAGGATTAAATAAGAAAATACTCATAAAGCACCAAAAAGAGTATGTGTTAGCTATTTATCATCAGGGTTTTAGAAAGGAAGCTGTCCTCCCTTGGGGCAACCTACCCTTACCAGGTTTGTGATCTATTTTTAATAAAAGAAATGGTTTCCTCACAGCCATGAGCAGGGGCAGATGCAGAAAAGAAGTTGCTGAGAAAGGGAACAAGTAAACACCACTAGACCTTACTACGCATGACAGGGAAAGTATGGTGGCCAGACCACACAGGCCAAGAAGCCAGGCAAGGGCCTGGCTCTAGAAACTACCTCTATGTGCTGTTCCCTGCTTTAGAATAGCTTCGGGAAGTAGGGCTCTACATGCCTGAGAACTGAGCCCCCATGAGGGTGGGGTGGGGCCTGAGCAGGCTCCTCCCACTTCAGAGAGCAGTGGCCTTTCTCTTGCAGGTTTGTGGCTCTGGGACCACTTCCTCTTTCCTCACTCTGAAATCAGGTCCCAGCCTGCTGAGTCCTCAGGAAAGATGGGAGCAGATACTGGGAGGACTTAGTCCATCTGTGACCCTAAGCTGGGGTGGGCGAGTGTGCCTGAGGAAGACCTTCCTCCCTGCTTTGGGGGTAGCTGAGGGTCACGTGAAGCCCTGCAGGATGGAGAAAGAGAGTGAGGAGAAGCTGGCATCTGTGCCCAACCTGGTGACTGTGTTTGAGAACAGCAGGTACCGGGTACTTGGGGTGGGAAGGGTCACCACAAGTGATAGTGAGGGTGACCACAGTGATAGTTCAGGGTGAAGCCTCAGGAGCCAGGGCCCTTTGGCACCTCAGACTTTCCCTGCCTTCAGGCTGAGGCACAGGGCTGGGCCACCTTGGGCCTCATAGTGTGCAGTCCCTCTCTGGCCCCGCCCAGGACACCACCTCCTATCTGGGCAGCACCCACACTGCTTGGAGCATAGGAATGCTGGGAGCCAGGCAGAGTTTTGAGGGCCAGCATGTCCTGGGAAGAGTCCAGATGAGTGCGGTTGTGAGTGAACGTGAGCAGATAATACGCAGATTCTTCCAGTGCCTGTGAGCACCTGGAGGAAACAGTAGCTACCACGGAGCATTTACTCCCTGTGAGTGGGACAGCCATATAATTTATCACTCAAGGAGGACCTAGCTGAAAGTGAAAGTGGATGCCATTAAAATTGGGCGGGTGGAGAGGGACTGTGTAGGGCAAATTGGGGTGCAGCGTCAGCTTATCTATGGACCACTGCTCTAAGTTCATGTCATTACTTACTTGGTTTAGTCATCGAAACTGCCTAATGGGGGTGGGTTCTATTCCTATCTTAAAGATGAGAAAGTGGATACACAGAGAGATAAGGATGCCCAGTGTTTTAAGTTCATGTGGTTTGAGACAATGCTGGGGCTTCTGTCTGAAGGGAAAAGGGCGCACCAGATGTGTGGAGGACATTGGTGGCCCTGGCAGGGTTTGAGAGAGAGACAGGAACATTAATACATGCAGCAGGTATTTCTTAAGCCCAGGAGCCCAGGATTGTGTTAGGGATAGGTTCTCTGGAAATAGGCTCTGAGATAGAGATTTGCCTCAGGAGGTTTATCAGTGAGAGCTTTGGAGAACATCTCTGCAGGTGAGTGAATCAGGGCTAGGCAGAAGGAGAAGTTGAATGGCAGTGCCCTTGCAACAGAGGCCTCAGCCTGTCCCAGGAACCTCTGGAGCTGGGACAGCCCTCAGTTATTTCCGTGGAGGCAAAGAGCTGGGTACTTGTGCCTGCGTGTGAGGCACATTACACTTTGGGTGAGGCAGCTCTCTTCAAAAGAACAATTTTCAGAGAGGGACTCAGCCAATAACCTGTTAACCTGTTAGCCGCCAATACTACCAGCAGCTGGAGGAGGGGAAGAATGCTTCTGTCCTGAACAGAGGATGTGTACTGCACAGCACAGCACCCTATAGGAATCATAGAGGATCCAGGTGAAGGATTTCTGTCTTTGAATGCTTAGCTCACGTGATAACCATGATACAAAGTCATGGGCAGTAGATGTCCTAGAAAAGGCCCAGATGCTGTGTTGAAGGCACTTAGGGCAGGCAAATCATCCTGTGCCCTTCACAGTGAAGGTGGCATAGATGTGGACCTACAAGGACAGTTCAGCTTCCTGAGCAGGGTAACTTTACTCTGCCTCTCCCAGGGTCTTTGCCAAGTTTGTCCTATTCAGCACCGAGGACAGCTCTTAGATGCCGCCTTCCTGACCCACCATCCCCTTGCGTGTGGGGCAGGGGCACCACCTCATTCACCTCACCAGGCAAAGAGTAGGAGCACACTGGCGAAGCTCCTTGGCCTGTGTGCCTTGCCCAGCAGCACCCCTGGCAGGAGGGGTAGCCCTTAGACCAGGTGAGGTTAGAGCAAGTGGTGTCAGGACAGGGAGAGCTACCCCCTACAGAGTGGGGGGCCCCATGTCAGCTGCCTTGGCCTGGGCTTCCTTGTGAGATCAGCTAAAAGATCAGCTGATCTGAAACTGGGGGTGAAGAGAAAACAGAAGCTGGCCTAGGGCACTTAGGGAGAAATGCAGAACCTGAAACTAAATATAGAACAAAAAGCTTGTGACCAGCTACTCTTACGAGCTGCAGACATGTGGGCTGAGGAACCGAGGACTGGGGTGCCAGGGAGTGGTGGGAAAACCTGGAAGCAGCAGGCCAGCACTGGGCCTTAATTCTCTTTCTGCCATGAACCAACTGTGACTTGAGGCAAGTCACTTTGACTCTCTGGACATGTTTCGCCTTTACTCAAATGGAGATGGATAGTTCAGGGTGAAGCCTCAGGAGCCAGTTTGATTTGGCTCCCACCTCTGCCATTTCTGAGCAGCAAGTTACCGATCCTCTTTGTATCTCAATTTCTTTAGCTGAAAAATGGGGGTAATGGAAACCTTTCCCTTCAAGTTTGAAGATTTTATATCTGTCCAGCCCTCCATTTCCTAGCCTGTCTTTCTCGTAAGGATGCCTACCCTCCACTGTCACTACAAGTCTTTCCACACCAAGGGGAATGGGCACTGCCCAAATTGTTGGATATATTCAATGAGAGTGGCCTCTGTTATCTAAAGACTCTAACTGGCTTGCAGACTCAGTACACAGGGTGACAAAGCTGCCCTATTAAGGTCCCTCCCTGAGAGAAAAGGGAATCTGCTCCCAGGCTGGTCACCTGGAGGCGAGGAGAGCATAGCTCTCACTGGAAAGCCCCAGCATTAGCTGCTGTGCTCTCACTTGAGATTGTTTTATGGCTCTCACCTTCCCTTGGTGTGTTGGTTACTAATCTAGAAACTAGAAACTGAGGTGAGGTCCAAAGGTGAGGGTGATATGGGGGAACCACTTAAAAACCTCCATGTGCAGAGGCAGTGTTCCTGGATGTGTCTGCATTTATTCTCCCCTGGAGAATAAAATGTAATCCATGCTGACTCATTTTGTAGACTGGAGCCTCCTCCAAGAAAGGTGTTAGGAAAGAAGTAGAAGTCTTACTTAGCAAGTTCCTACAGAGAGCCGGCCTGCTGGGGCCCCTGCACACCAGTGGTTCACACCAGTCATCCCAAATCCCCTCCAGGGATGTGCCTGTTCTCTAGACAGGAAAACTTCAGATCTGTTCTATTCTCAGGACCCCAGGAGCAGTGCCCAGAGCCCATAGGCCTCCCCACACGCCAGGGCCATGGGAGAATCCTGATGTCGGGGAGACCCTGGAGTCTGGGCCCAGGACAGTCAGCAGGAGGTACCTGAGTTCCCTGAAGAACAAGCTGTCCAGTGGGGCCTGGAGGAAATCTTGCCACCCTGGGACCTGCCCTGGGCCAGGGACACAGGTGCCTCATGACTGGGGTAGAAGTGGGAAGCTGGGTGGGTGGCTTTCCATTGATCTCATCACACAGTCTGTCCCGGTCAGAGCCAGCAGTCCCCCAGGTGGGAGTCTTGTATAAGCAGACATCAGCTAGGAGCTAGATTCTCCCCACTGACAGCCTTTGATCAGCTGTCCGCTGTGCCCCCTGCTGCTTTACTTCATATATCCCTCACTGTGGGAGTTATTTAGGCAAGAAAATTGAAATTCAGCTTAAAGAACTTGTTCAAGGCCTCAGTTCACCCACTGGAGGAGGCCACGATGCCAAACTAGACACAGAGATCTAAGTGGCAGTTTTCATGCCCTTGGAATATGGTCTGATCCTGAGCAGGCCACCTCCCTTCTGTGGGTCTCAGTTTCCTCATCTGTAGAGTTCAAGGATTAGAATGCAAGATGCTGTGCTCCTGGATCCAAGCTCCCTGGGGCCTTGTCCCAGCTCTCCTGCTTACTAACTGTAACTTTGGGCAAGGCCTTTAACCTCTTTGTGCCGCAGTTTCCTCATTTGAAAAGTGGGGATAGTGCTCATAGTAGTGTTCTTTGGTTATCAAGTACTACATAGCAAACCACCCCAAAACATAGTGGCTGGATAATAACAGTTTATTATTTCTCGCATTTTGTGGGTTTACTGGGATAGTGCTGGGCAGCTTCTTTTTTTTTTTTTTTTTGAGACAGAGCCTCAAGCTATAACCCTGGGCAGAGTGCCCTGGCATCACAGCTCACAGCAACTCCTTGGCTCAAGTGATTCTCCTGCCTCCACCTCCCAAGTAGCTGGGATACAGGCACCCACCACAACGCCCGGCTATTTTTTTGTTGCAGCCATCATTGTTGTTTGGTGGGCCCAGTCTAGATTTGAACCCACCAGCTCAGGTGTATGTGGCTGGCGCCTTAGCTGCTTGAGGCACAGGCGCTGAGCCTGAGCAGCCTCTTTATTGGTCTCACTGGAGACTGTGCTAGTCAGCTTGGGCTGCCATAATAAAATACCACTAAACAGAAATGTATTGTCTTGACTTGGTGCCAGTAGCACAGTGGTTATGGCACCAGCCACATACACCGAGGCTGGCAGGTTTGAACCTGGCCCAGGCCAGCTAAACAACAATGACAACTGCAACAAAAAAATAGCCAGGCATTGTGGCAGGCACTTGAAGTTCCAGGTACTTGGGAGGCTGAGGCAAGAGAATTGCTTAAGCCCAAGAGTTTGAGGTTGCTGTGAGCTGTGATAGCACGTCACTCTACTAAGGGCGACATAGTGAGACTCTGTCTCAAAAAAAAAAAAAAAGGATATTTATTGTCTCACAGTTCTGGAGGTTGGAATCCAAGATCAAGGTGCTGGCAGGTTTGGCTTCCGGGGAGGTCTTTTTCTTGGCTTACAGACAACCACCTTCTCACTGTGCCCTTCTTGACCTTTTTTCTGTGCATGCACATCCCTGGTGTCACTTTTTCTTATAAGGATACCAACCATATCAGTTTAGGGCCCCACCCTTATGGCTTCATTTAACCTCAATTACCTCCTTAAAGGGCTGATCTCTAAATATAGTTACTCTGAGAGTTAAGGCTGCAATGTAATGAACTTATAGAGGAGACACAATTCAGTCTCTAACAGGGTCTCTCAAGTAGCTGCAGTCAGATGGTAGCTGGGGCTGGAATGCCCAAGATAGTTCATCCCACAAGCCTGGTACTTGGGCAGAGACTGTAGAGAGGCTGGTGTGGCTGGGCCCCTACTCTCTCTCTCCATGTGGTCTCCAAGCCTCTTCTTTCCACATGGCCTGCCCGTGAGTCTCTTTATCAGAGCAGCCAGACTTTTTATTTTTTTTAATTGTTGAGGATTCAATGAGGGTATAAAGAACCAGGTTACAGGGGCGGCACCTGTGGCTCAGTGAATAGGATGCCAGCCCCATATACCGGAGGTGGTGGGTTCAAACCCAGCCCTGGCCCAAAACTGCAATAAATAAATAAATAAAATTTAAAAAAAAAAAAAAAAAAAGAACCAGGTTACACTGCTTGCATTTGTTAGGTAAAGGCCCTCTTATAATTGTGTCCCACCCCCAAAAGGTGTGTCACACACAATGACTCCCACACCCCACAACCAGATTTCTTGATGTGGTGGTTCACAGCTCCCAAGAGAGTACAGGGGGGAGCTTCCAGGCCTCCTAAGGCTTAGGCCTAGGACTGGCACAGCCTCACTCTGCCCCATTCTCCATGAAGGCCAGATCAGGGCCAGCCCAGGTGTACTGCAACAGGGTGTGAACACCAAGAGGTACGCTTCACTGGGAATCTTTGGAAACTGAGCCAAGGTCCCTATCAGAGGAGACTAAAGGTGTTCCTCCCTTCTTTTTCTTCTCTCTCCACAACCCCCCAGCAGGAGCCTGAAGAGAAGAGGATCGTCCAAGAGCTTCTGGAGACAGAACAGGCCTACGTGGCTCGCCTTCACCTGTTAGACCAGGCCAGTGGCCAGGGTACCCCCTCTGAGCCCCAACCCTGCTCTGCCTTCCCACCCACCTCAGCAGAGCTGAGTTAGGACCCCTGGATTTGACTTTAGGAAGCCTTAGCCCTTCAGCCCTGTGCAGCTGGGGGTGGGGTAGAATCAAGGTGTAGCCCTGTAGCACCACTCTGTTATCCCTAGAGGGCCTCAGGCACAGAAGAGCACATATCAGCCTGTCCTGCCAGGCCCCCCGCAGCATGTCTTCTGTTATCAACATTATCTCACTCTTCATACTTTGTTAAGGCTAAAGAGTTAATCATTGAGCATCAGTGCAAGGAGTTTCAGCTTAGTGAAGGCCAAGACCGCCACAGACCCATTTGTGACATTCACAGCTGCCAGCATTCAGCCAAGGCCCTTCATCTTTAGGCCTTAGTTTGCCCATCTCTAAAGTGGCCAGAACGTAAAATGGCAATCTTCCCTGCTTATCTTCCTGGGGTTGTTATTAGGATGCTGGGAGATTAGGAAGGTGAAAGCATTATGTAAACTGGGGAGGGCCCCTTATTCCCCTGGGCAGGTGTGTGGGTGGCTCCCTCTCCCCACAGAGGGTGATGGATGGTGGTGGCTGTAGGTGTTCTTCCAGGAGCTGCTGAGGACGGCTCGCAGCAGCAAGGCCTTCCCCGAAGAAGTGGTCAGGATCATTTTTTCCAACATCTCTTCCATCTACCAGTTCCATGCACAGTTCTTCCTCCCAGAGCTGCAGCGGCGCCTGGATGACTGGTGAGGTCCACCAGGAGCCCTGAGGCCCCATCTGCAGCCCTGGGCAACTGAAGGGGGAAGCTCCAGCACACTGGGTTCAGCCTGCTAGGCCCACGCCCTGGCTGTGTGGTCAGGACAGTCTCTTCCTTTCACAGTGAGGGACTTGGAAGAAAGACCCCATCTCCCAGAAGCATGTGTGTGAAAGGGTGTGTGGGGGGAGAGGAGTACTGCCTCCTGGGGGGAGGGATGGAGCTAGGCTGAGTGACTTAGGAGGCCATGGGAATAGCCAATGCTAAGGGTTACTTACATGCCTGGCTGTAGACTTTGCACTTATTAATTCACTCGATATTTAAATCAGCCCTGTGTGATGACAGCATCATGGTTAAGCAAAAAATCCCCTTTGTTTTCAGAGATGACCACTAAAACACTCAGTGGTGAGATTACTTGCTTTATATATTTTGCCAAAAAAGGCTATAAAGTTTGGGATGTCTTTTAAAATCTTTAGCAAAGAAAAATGTTAGTAATTGTTTAACCTAGTGATGGAATAATTGCTTAAAATTTTTATAATAAGATATTTTTTAATTGTAATTATTTACTTTTAAAAACTATCTTTAGTTTTTTGGGCTTTGATTTTTTTTTTTTTTTAAGAAAAGTCTCAAAAATAAGAGTTGCCATAGTCTCAACCTAGGTCACAGCAACCTCAAACTTCTGAGCTCAAGCAAACCTCCTGACTCAGCCTCTTGAATAGCTGGGACCATAGGCGTGCAATACCTCACCCAGCTAATTTTCCTTTTTTTTTTTTTTTTTTACTGTTGAGGATTCATTGAGGATACAAAGAACCAGGTTACATTGATTGCATTTGTTAGGTAAAGTCCCTCTTATAATTGTGTCCTACCCCTAAAAGGTGTGTCACACACCATGACCTCCCACCCTCCTCCCTCTTGCCCTCTCTCTGCTCTCCCCTTCCCCTACTCCTCACCGTGTACTAGGTCATCAACTGTCCTCTTACAAGAATTGAGTACATAGGATTCTTGCTTCTCCATTCTTGTGATGCTTTACTAAGAATAATGTGTTCCACTTCCATCCAGGTTAATACAAAGGATGTAAAGTCTCCATCTTTTTTAATGGCTGAGTAGTATTCCATGGTATACATATACCACAACTTGTTAATCCATTCCTGGGTTGGTGGGCATTTAGGCTGTTTCCACATTTTGGTGATTGTAAATTGAGCTGCAATAAACAGCCTAGTGCAAGTGTCCTTACAGTAAAAGCATTTTTTTTCCATCTGGGTAGATGCCCAGGAATGGGATTGCAGGATCAAATGGAAGATCTAGCTTGAGTTCTTTGAGGGTTCCCCATACTTTCTTCCAAAAAGGTTGTATTAGTTTGCAGACCCACCGGTGGTAGAAAAGTGTTCCCTTCTCTCCACTTCCACACCAGCATCTGTAGTTTTGAGATTTTGTGATGTAGGACATTCTCGCTGGGGTTAGATGGTATCTCAGGGTGGTTTTGATTAGCATTTCTCTAATAATTAGGGACAATGAGCATTTTCTCATATGTTTGTTAGCCATTTTTTTCTACTTTTTGCAGAGATCAGTTCAGGCTGATCTTGAACTCCTGAGCTCAAGAGATCTTCCCACCTCAGCCTCCCCGAGTGCTAGGATCACAGGTGTTAGTCACTGTGTCTGTCCATAAAATTAAAAAAAAAATCATTACTATAAGATTGCCTCTCATCATCCCAGTTTTTTTAGATGAGAAAATTGGGGCTCGGCGCCTATAGCTCAACCGGCTAAGGCGCCAGCCATGTACACCTAAGGTGGCGGGTTCGAATCCCCAGCCCGGACCCACCAAACAACAACGACGGCTGCAACCAAAAAATAGCTGGGCGTTGTGGTGGGCACCTGTGGTCCCAGCTACTTGGGAGGCGGAGGCAGGAGATTCGCTTGAGCCCAGGAATTGGAGGTTGCTGTGAGCTGTAATGCCACGGCACTCTACCCAGGGGGACAGCTTGAGGCTCTGTCTCAAAAAAAAAAAAAGAGGAAAAGAAAATTGGGGTACAGAAAGGATAAGTGGCTTTCCCAAGAACAGATAGCTGGGTCATGGTGCAGCAGGGAATCAAACCCAGGCACCCAGCTCCAGAGTGACAATAGTCTCTCAGTTCAATGACCTTCAGGCCTTACCACAGAATGATCATGAATAAGTTCTTACCCCTTTGATTCTTCATTTTCTTATCTCTAACCTGTGCTAACAACTGTCCCAACCTTCAAAGTTGTGAGAATTAAATGAAATGAGACACACAGTGTGTCTGGGGCAATGCTGGGCATGTGGTCCTTGTTATTGTTATGTAAGCAAGCATCGGGTAGTTACTAAACCCATGTTGTGGACCCAGCATCCCCCTGGGCCTGTGGGAGAAGCCTATCAGTGGACCAGAATAGCCTCTGCCCTTGGGGTGCTCGCAGCCTAAGAGGAGAGAGGCACAAACTTGGGAGAATGACAGCCTGCCCCTGCCTGCACCCAGAAGTGCAGAGGAAATGGGTGGGGGTCAGGGAGCCTGGTCTAACCTGGCCCTGCTTGGAGTCAAAAGAGGAGATCACATGCTGAGGTACCTGGGTACCTCTCTGACAGGATGGTCACACCCCGCATTGGTGACGTGATCCAGAAATTGGCCCCATTCCTGAAGATGTATAGTGAGTATGTCAAGAACTTTGAGCGGGCTGCTGAGCTGCTGGCCACCTGGACAGAGAAGTCTCCCCCCTTCCAGGAGGTTATCACTCGCATCCAGGTAAGGGTGCAGGGAGGGCCAGAGCCTGCACCACCGCCTCCAGCATGCGGTGGCTTAGTTTCCCTGAGTGATTTTGATCATCTTCCAGGCTCAACTGCTTCAAATGGCTGTAGTACCCACCCACCCCGCCCACTCCCCTGACCCTTGTGGGCAGTCTGACTCGCCCTTCCCCTCTCTCATCCTCCTCCTGTCACTCCTCCATCCCTCCCTAAGAGCAGCGAGGCTTCAGGCAGCCTGACCCTGCAGCACCACATGCTGGAACCAGTACAGAGAATTCCACGTTACGAGCTGTTGCTCAAGGAGTATGTCCAGAAGCTGCCAGCCCAGGCCCCAGACCAGGCCGATGCCCAGAGTGAGAACACCCCCAAGGGTCCCAGGGGGCTGGAGAGGCCTCAGCCATTCCCATATATTTATTGAACTCCTGCAAAAATACTTGGGAAGACCATCAGTCAGCAACATTGATCATTGGTACTTCACAGACATTATCCATACCATTAGCCATATTTTACAGATGATGAGGTCTTTAAGGCCCAGAGAAGTTCAGTGGCTTGCTCAAGGTCACACAGCCAGAAAAGAGCAGAGCTGGGATTTGAACTCATGCCTATATGATTCCAAAGCCCATGTTTCTTTCACTTTACCCCCCTGGGTCTGTCTCTGGTTGGGAACAGTGAGAAGCCCCAAGGCCAAACACCAAATTGCTGCCTTTCAGTGGCTTCCACCCTGTCCTCCCTGGGGCCACTCCAAGAGCCAGGCTGCACTGGCAGGACCATTCCTGGGGGCTGTCGTCGCAAGTCCTGAGGCCCTTGCTGAGCCTCAAGGGCTTCCTACCTTAGCCCCCAGCCCCCAGTTTTCAAAGGCTAACTCTGACCTTGCCCCTCTTCAGAAGCCCTGGATATGATCTTCTCGGCAGCTCAGCACTCTAATGCAGCCATCACCGAGATGGTGAGTACCCGGCCTGTACCCATACCTTGTCCCCTCCTCCCAGCAGATCTCGGCCTCTCCCTATACATCCTGGTGGCTGTATCCACCCAGCCCCTTGCCCCACCACAACTCCTGCCCCACTTTCACACTCCTGTCCTTGTCCCTACAAGGCAAACCTTCCAGAAATAGGTGATCTTTGCCTGGCCTTGGCTGATGGTGCACCCCCTCCCCCCCAGGAGCGGCTGCAGGACCTGTGGGAAGTGTACCAGCGCCTAGGCCTTGATGATGACATAGTAGACCCCTCCAACACCCTCCTTCGAGAGGGTCCGGTCCTTAAGATCTCCTTCCGCCGCAGTGACCCCTTGGAACGCTACCTTTTCTTGGTAAGGGTGTTGGGAGCCCTAGGCCACAATGAGGAGGGAAGTCCATGAACTACTCTGGCCCCGGTGATGCCTGCTGGGCCTCTGTATGTTACTGCAGGAGGGACAGGGAAGAGCCTGCCTTTCTGTCTTTCTCTGCTTTGCGCTCAGGTGACTTTGGACAAGTCATATGCTGCCTCTGTAATTCAGGGATTTCCAACCCATGGGAGCCACAAAGTCAGAATTTGAATCCAATCTGGCTCCAATGCCTGTGGCATTAATCTGTGCTCTAGAGGGTACACAGCAGGAAGGAATAGGGGTGGCTACCAGGAATACCACCTGGGATTACACAGAAGAGGCCATGAGCTCCCCTGAGATCTGGAAAAGTGGTCCTGCCTGGAGGTGCGGGTGAGGGAGCTACAACCCCCCGTAAACCCTGTACCCGTGAGCCCCGTGAGAAAGGCCTTGTAGGTTTCTAAGGTTTGCTATTGCAATAATCCCTTGATGCCCACAGGAAGGGTATCTCTTCACTGGCTATCCCAGTGGGGTTGGAGGCTAGACAACCCCGTCCTCATTACTTTAAATATCACCTGTTACATCCTATGAAGTGGCCCAGAGTATGGCTAGAGGGGAGGGGAAATCCAGAGGTGCTCAGCGCCCCCTCAGGGCAGCCACCTGCCATCCTTCCTGCCCTGCCCCTGCCTGCCCGTTCATGTCTGTGTCTCCACAGTTCAACAACATGCTGCTCTATTGCGTGCCCAGGGTCATCCAGGTAGGCGCCCAATTCCAGGTGAGGACCCGCATCGACGTGGCAGGGATGAAGGTGAGAGGCCTCCAACCACCACTGGGTTTCACCCCCAAAGTGAGAGTACACATGGGCAATGGCAGGAGGGGCCAACCCAGGTTCTCAATTAGACGACTAAAGCTCCATAGGTCCTGAGCAAACATGGGGATGGAAAAGTTAGAGCTCTCCCATGCAGGCTGCAGCCCTCCTGCACAGGCTCTTCCCAGGTTCCCATAGGCCTGGCCCACGTGGGGGACAGTCCACAGCACAGCACAGCCTCTCTCTGCTTTCCCTACTGTCTACATGTCTGTTTCTAAAACTTCAATGTGTGCACACATTCCCTGGGCATGTTATTAATGCAGCAGGCCTGGTGGGGCCTGAGATCCCGCATTCTAACCACTCCCAGGAGACGCTGATACTGCAGGTCTGATACTTAGGTCTAAGCTGTCAGCTGAGCTGCTGGCTGTGTGTGTCCCCATCCAGAAATGAGGCTGTGTGTGTCCCCATCCAGAAATGACGCTAATGAGCAGGGACAGCAGCAGTCCATAGCAGTGCCCAGTAACTGTGCAGTCTCCTGAGCCCTGTGGCATCCCATCAGATCGTCATAACAGCTATGATGGAGCGGCTGTTATTATTCCTTGGATTTTTTCCTTTTATCTTTTAAAAATAATTTTAATATTATGCCTTAAAAATATAGATAATACATATTCCAAAATCAAACAATATAAAAAGTATATATGACAAAAATTCTTTTCCAGCTCAGCACCTGTAGCTCAAGCGGCTGAGGCACCAGCCACATACACCAGAGCTGGTGGGTTCAAATCCAGCCCAGACCTGCCAAACAATGGCAACTACAACCAAAACATAGCCAAGTATTGTGGTGGGCGCCTGTAGTCCCAGCTACTTGGGAGACTGAGGCAAAAGAATCACTTAAGCCCTGGGGTTAGAGGTTGCTGTGAGCTGTATCACAGCACTCTACAGCCATGTAGACAGCTTGAGGCTCTGTCTCAAAAAAAAAAAAAAAAGAAAAAAAAAGAAAATTCTCTTCCCTACTCTATCCCCTAGTTCTCCTTCCCGAAGGCAGCCTTGACTTCTCCTGAGTCCTCCCAGAGCTAGTCTTTGCATATACAGTCATACAGTACTGTTTCCTCACGTTATACCATAAGCAATGACATACTTTATACACTTTTCTGCATTTTGCTTTGTTTTGTTTCTAGAGACAGAGTCTCACTTTATTGCCCTTGGTAGAGTGCCATGGCATCATAGCGCATAGCAACCTCCAGCTCTTGGGCTTAGGTGATTCTCTTGCCTCAGCCTCCTGGTAACTGCGACAACAACCCCCCGCCACAATGCCCAGGTATTTTTTTGTTGCAGTTTGGCCAGGGCTGGGTTTGAATCCGCCACCCTTGGTATATGGGGCCGGTGCCCTACTCACTGAGCCACAGGTGCCGCCCTGCATTTTGCTTTTTATTATTATATATTTTTTTGTTTTTAGTTTTTTTCTGAGACAGGGTCTCATTCTGTCATGTGAGCTAGAGTGCAGTGTAGTCATCACAGCTCACAGTGACCTCTAACTCCTGGGCTCAAGTGATCCTACTGCTTCAGCTTCCCAGTAGCTGGGACTGCAGGAACCTACCACTAACTGGCTAACTTTTCTATTTTTTTGTAGAAATGGGATTTCAGGGCCTGGCGCCTGTGGCTCAAGCAGCTAAGGCGCCAGCCACATACACCTAAGGTGGCAGGTTCGAATCCAGCCTGGGCCTGCCAGGCAACAGTGATGGCTGCAACCAAAAAATAGCTGGGCGTTGTGGCGGGCGCCTGCAGTCCCAGCCACTTGGGAGGCTGAGGCAGGAGACTCACTTGAGCCCAGGAGTTGGAGGTTGCTGTGAGCAGTGAAGCCATGGCACATGACCTAGGGGGACAGCTTGAGGCTCTGTCTCAAAAAAACAAAAAAAAAGAAATGGAGTCTCAGACTCCTTAGCCTCAAACAATCTTGCTTGGGTCTCCTGAAGCATTAGGATTACAGGTGTGAGCCACCATGCCCAGCTCGCACTTTGCTTTTTAAATTAACTACAAATTTTGGAGATATGTACTTTAGAATGTCACATCCTTTTACATAGTTTCATAATATCCACTGTGTGGATGTTAACTGTAATTGATTCAGCTGAGTCCTCTGCTGAGGGATATTTGGATTGTTTTCTGTTGTCAGTTGATGCAAATGAGAATAACCTTGTACTGTTTAGCTGTGGGTGAGTATGAGGTCTGACAATTACGTTCTTGAACTCATCCTAGAAAAAGTGCTACATATCTCATTGTCAGATTTCACTACAGTCATCTTCAAAGTACTCCCCTTGGGAAGATATTCACCAACTCCAGAGCCTAATCCCTTTAAAACAATTTCAGAACTTTTTTTCTAGAATGACCATCAGAGCTGCCATCATATGAAGTCTGACAGTTAAGTTCATGAACATGCCGCCATGCACTTACACTGGCAGCACTATACAAACAAATCGATAAAGTCCCATAACCTTGGTATATCAGTGTCTTAAGCTGTGTTTGTGTTGATGTATGGCAGTGTCTTGCTAAGTGGTGTCCATTATTGTTGAACAGTGCTGAATGATGACAGCTCTGATGACCATTCCAGAAAGAGTCCCAAAATTGCTTTGAAGTGTGGACTAGGCCCTTGTATTGGTGAATAGCTTCCAACCAGGAGTACTTCAAAGGTGACTGTAGTGATATTCAGCAATGATGTATGTAGCACTTTTAATAGGATGAGTTCACAAACTTAATTATCAGACCCTGTATATCTATAGTTAATCCCTTTTTAAAAAGTAAGAAAACAAAGGCCCTGGAAAACCTTTCTAGCTTAAGTCATTTGCGTGGAGTTCACATGGCAAATCCTGGTCTGAGCAACTGAACCAGGATTTAGACTCAGGTGCAATGGAGTTGAGAGCCCTGTATTGAATTGTCATGCCATGTCATCTTCTAGTAAGGCTTTGGCCCAGAGGGATAAAGCTTATGATGGAATTCAGGCATGGTGGGGGAAATGGCAGGAGAACCTTCTTGACCATCCTCTCTGATAGCTCCTGAGTCCTGGTATGTCCTTAGAGCCCGGGCTGGAAGCAGCAGAGTTCTGGTCTAGCCTATCTTGTAACCCCTCTCTCCCTACTCCACACCCCCGTCAGCCCCATGAGGGAGCTGCAGGCAGGAGTTGAGCCCTGGGGTCTCACAGAGACCCCAGCAGGAGAGCATTGTCCCTGCTCTTAACTGTAGTTGCCTAGCATTTGGGCATAGCCTGGGGGTGATGAGTGCTAATTGGGGGACCTAGGCATCTTCTGGGGGTTCACAGCCCACCCCCCAAATCTGAGATGATTGAGGTCTTTTAGGAGTGCAGATCCCTCCCCCCACAGGGGCATCTAGCTTTCTACCCTGAAGTGGCCAGAATGTCTTCTAGGTCAGGGTTGTACAGGCTTGTATGTTTGGAGTCCTTGGTGGGTGAGACTGAGAAAGGCAGATTTATAGAGAGCTACAAGAAATGGCAAGTAGCCCTGCCAAATTACTGTCAGAGATCCAGGCATAGAAAAAGAGGAAGAGATTGACAGATGAAAAAGCCAAGAAATACAGAGACCCAAACAGAGTCATAAAGAGAAAACAGACGAGCCTGAGTGTGTCAGATGTTTGGCCTCTTCCAGTCCTGGGAAATGTGTCTGACACTCCTACGGCCACACAGCACCCTCTCCTGGATTGCACCAGCTTGGCAGGTGCAGAGCTCTTGACCTACTCTGGTCTGTGTGGGAACCATTTTCTTAGTTTGATGTTTGGTAGCAGGTCTAACCTTCGACCACCATAATGATTCCCACTGACCTATGACCCTCATTCCCCTTCCTGAGTATCAGGGAGGCCTAGTTTGCAGCAGCTGATTCTGCTTAAGGTCTGGACTGGTCTTACTGTTTTGCACAGAGGCAGTCTGGGAAGGGGAAAGGAGTGCAGCATACGTACTCAGGGGCTCCATGTACAGCAGTGCAGGTTGTGCACTACACAAGGATACTTCATGTAAGAGGGTACTATCTACAGCAGACTGCAAATTAACATTATTATGAATTGTATATTTATAGTTAGACTTGTCCGGCAGATGGCAGTCAAATGTCTTGTTCCAACAAAATCTGGATATGATGCCAGTTTGCCAACAGATGTCAGTAAAGTGTTTTGAGGAAGGGTGTCCTTTTCTAATTAACACAAAGGCACGATATGGACTAGCAGGGGACTGAATAGACTCAGACCCGAGGAAAATAGTTGCGACTACTTTCTCAAGCATGGCAGGACTTGGGACATTGTCCTCTTGTAACCTAATGGAGAGCTAGAGGCCTCTGTGGGAACATCCCAGGGGCATCTTGGACCCTCAGGTCAGGAGCTCCCTCAGTTCCCCTTTTTCTGTGAAAAGCGTCATATTTCTTCCGCCTTCTGGACTGTAAACCTTGGGTTTCTGCCTTTTTTTCCCTCTCCCTTCCCCCTGACCCAGTTGGAAACCTCTTTACTCTCTCTCCAGGGCATTCAGAGGCAAGCCTGGGCCATTTGTGGCATCACTTCCTAACTGGCCTTTGGGCTATAAGTTTGTCCCTTTTGCCCAGATCCAGCCTTCATCCTTTACACACAGCTCCTGGGGTGGTTTTCCCCAAACACTTCTTTCCACATGACCTCTTTAATTTGTAAACTAGAGAATTCTCCCCATTGCCAAGGATATTGAGTCCAAATCACATCGGGCCCCTTCTAGAGGGAAAGACTGGCCTATGGAGCCATGGTCTAGGCCGGACCTGTGGCAGGATGTGCTCACGCTTAGTGCTCTCTGGAGAGTGCTGGATAGCCCTGAAAACTTGCCAAGGCCTGGCCACCACATGGCAGGGAAGCAGCAGAGGAGCTCCAGTGTCAGATGGATTCAATGGCAACAAAGTTCCCTTGCACAGAGACTCTTGAGCTCTAAACCTGTGTCTGAGGTTCCCTTGGCAAATCTCTCTCCACACTGCCTGGAAGAGGTCTGTGCTTATAGGACTCTGGGAGTGGGATGAAAATAAATGTTCTTCCACCTTACATTTAGGACTGAAAATCTGAGTTGGAATCCTTATTCTGCCCTTTAGATGCTGTGTGACCTCAGGCAGGTCTTTTGCCCTCTCTGAGCCTCCATTTCTCATCTCCTAAATAAAGATGGTATTATCTACTTCCCAAAATTGCTGTGAAGATTATTTCCTTAACTTTTTATTAAGGGCATTTTTAAGCCAAGAAAATGGTACAATGAACCTTCATATACTCATCCAGTTTTGAAATCCAATTTCCATTTTTGGTGAATCCATTGTCAGGAACTGTCACCTCTACCTTACACTGGGCCAACTTAGCTGCTGTTAAAATTCCAGGAACTGTAAGTCTCATGTGCTTGGAACATGAGGCCCAGTTGCAGGCACACTTGTCTGGCTCTACAGAATTAGGGAAGTGGTGAGCAAGCCCCCATCCCTGTACCTTAAATTTGAATTGTCCCTTGGGCACAGTCTACCTCCCTCCACTCCATAGTGTTGTGCCTGAGGGGGGTATGACAAGTCTGAACCGGTGGCCTCCCTCCTTCCTCTTGCAGGTGCGGGAGCTGACTGATGCTGAGTTCCCCAACTCCTTCCTGGTGTCGGGGAAGCAGCGCACCCTGGAGCTGCAAGCCCGGTAAGGGATGTGGGGGCTGGGAAGGGCGGGAAACTGGGAGGGGTCATTCTACTCAACACCTGTGTTAACTTTCTGAGCAGGTCCCGAGAGGAAATGATTTCCTGGATGCAGGTATGCGAAGGCTCCAGGCCTCCCAGGCTGTCGATGAGGGAGGGGTGTGTTTGCATGTGAGTGTGTGTGCACATGTGCCTCTGTATGTGCAAACATCTACCTGAGCATGCCCAGTGCTCTCTGCTCTTCCTCTGGAGTTTCTCTGTGGTAATTTGGAGTCAGATCTGGGTTCAAATCTTGTTGCCTCTGACTGCCTACCTGGGCAGCCTGCAGCAGATCACTTAACCTCTCTGAGCCTCAGTTTTTATATCTGCAATCTGAGTCTAACAGTTTCAAACAACCTATGTGTGCTTAGACTCCAGTGCCTGGCAACCAGTAGGCTTTGAGCAATGTTTGTTAAATGCATGGATGGACAGACACGTGGGCACGCCCTCCGTCCCACCCTGCAAGCCTCCCAACCCTCCTCGCTCTCTCCACCCCAGGCCTGCCAAGCAGCCATTGACCAAATCGAGAGGCGGAATGAAACCTTCAAGGCTGCAGGCCAGGGGCCTGAGGGAGACACCCAGGAACAGGAGGTAAATGGAGCCTCCAGACCAAATAGTGTTTTCTACCAGGCCTGCTTGGAGGGACAGAGAATGTCACCCACCACGAGTAACTTTAAGGGACCAGGGAAAGCCCTCCCACCCCAACATCAACTTGCTGAATGCCCAATATTTTCCCATGAGTAAAACTTCCTTTGGGAGCTTCTATATGCAGCTATCATGGGGAAGGATTTCATATCTGTGATATATAAACTCCAGCTGCAGGATTTTGAGTTTGAAAGTATCTGAGACATATAAGACTGAGGGAAAGCGGGCTGGGTGTGGTGGCTCATGCCAGTAATCCTAGCACTTTGGGAGGCCAAGGTAGGAGGATCACTTGAAGCCAGGAGGAGTTTGAGACTAGCCTGGGCAACACAGTGAGACCCTATCTCTAAAGAAATATATAAAACTTAGCCAGGTGTGGTGGTGGGCACTTGTAGTCCCAGCTACTTGAGAGGCTGAGGCAGGAGGATGGCTTGAACCCAGGAATGTGAGGCCACAATGAGCTAGGACGATGACACCACTGTACTCCAGCCTGGGCGACAGAGCAAGGACCTATCTCTTAAAAAAAAACAAGGACGGTGTGGAAGGTGGGTGGGAGTGGAGTTTAGGAAGAATGTCTAATCTCACTTGGCTGAGTCACTTGATCTTTCTGGACTTTACTTCCTCACCTGCAAAATAGAAGTAATGTGTGGTGGTAACTAACCTATCATAAGGTCTTTGTCCATTTCGTCAGTCTTGTGTGGAAGTTCCCCGGAAACCCAAGACACAGAATCTCTGCCATGAGCAGGTGGGCAGAGGCCAGGGGTCTCAGAGAATGAGTGAAAGGTTATGAAGTATCCACACCTGCTCAATTCCCCTCATCCCACAGCTGAAGTCTGAGGAGCTGGGCCTCCGGGCACCACAGTGGGTCCGGGACAAGATGGTGACCATGTGCATGCGCTGCCAGGAGCCCTTCAATCCCCTGATGCGTCGGCGCCACCATTGCAGGGCTTGCGGCTATGTGAGTACTTTCACCAGCACCCCTGCCTCCACCTGTCCCACAAAGGCCTCTGTCCCCCAACCCCAGCTGAGGCCTTGCTCTCTCCCTCCTGGCCAGCTCTGGCTATGTCATCCAGATGCAACCCAATAGCACAGCTCTGAAGCAGAGGGTGCCATTTTCCCATTTTATAGATGGAAAAACGAGGCTCAGAAAGGTTAAATAACTTGCAGAACACATCCCCTGAAGCTAACTCTATTAATTCACCTGCTTTCTTTTTTTTTTTTTTTTTGAGACAGAGCCTCAAGCTGTCCCCCTGGGTAGAGTGCCGTGGCATTACAGCTCACAGCAACCTCCAACTCCTGGGCTCAAGTGAGTCTTCTGCCTCCGCCTCCCAAGTAGCTGGGACCACAGGCGCCCGCCACAACGCCTGGCTATTTTTTGGTTGCAGCTATCATTGTTGTTTGGCGGGCCCGGGCTGGATTCGAACCCACCACCTTAGGTGTACGTGGCTGGCGCCTTAGCCAGTTGAGCTATAGGCGCCGAGCCAATTCACCTGCTTTCATACCACCATTTCCCAAGACCCACACCCAGAGCTATGAAATGGTTTCCAGTTCCAGGGTAGGTAAGGCCAAACCCCACAGCCCTCTCAGGACTTCCACCACTATTTCAGCAGCCCCAGGCCCATTACATGCTGACCCACCCACCCTTACCATCCTGTTTTCTTGACCCACCTCAGCTGACAGGCATGTACTTAGCACCCAGGCACCTGATGTTTCTGTCACTAACTCTACCTGCCTGGTTCAGACTTCAGTTTCCTACTCTATGCCATGGGATTATAATGCTTACTTCCAGGGTGGTAGTGAGGATTCAACGCAAAAACCCTCTCTCCTTCCCTTCCCTTCTCCTCCCATCCCTCCAATAGCTCAGGCAGGGCTCACCTAGCAGGACTGAGTCACCTCCACTTATAGAGGAGGAATAGTGCCCACTCCCCTTTTCCCTCTCATTAGCCCAGGCCTGCTTATCAGAGGAAGATCTTGCTTTACCTTTTTTTTTTTTTTTGAGACAGAGTCTCACTTTGTCACCTTTGGTAGAGTGCTGTGGTGTCATAGTTCACTGCAACTTCAAACTCCTAGGCTCAAGTGATCCTCTTGCCTCATTTTCCTGAGTAGCTGGGACTATAGGTATCCACCACAATGCCCAGCTATTTTTAGATGGGGTCTCGCTCTTACTCAGGCTGCTCTCAAACTCCTGAGCTCAAGCAATCCACCTGCCTCAGCCTCCCAGAATACTAGGATTACAGGCTCAACTATGCCCGACCCTTTTTGTTGTTTTCTTTTTCTTTTCTTTTCTTTTCTTTTTTCTTTTTTTTGAGACAGAGTCTCACTTTGTCTCCCTGGCTAGAGTGCCCTGGCATCATCATAGCTCATAGCAACCTCTAACTCTTGGGCTTAGGTGATCTTCTTGCTTCAGCCTCTAGAGTAGCTAGGACTACAGGCACCCACCACAACGCCTGGCTAATTTTTCTGCTTTTAGTAGAGATGGGGGTCTCACTCTTGCTCGGGCTGGTCTCCAGCTCCTGACCTCAAGCAATCCACCTGCCTCAGCTTCCCAGAGTGCTAGAATTCACAGGCCTGATTCTTGCTTTGCTTTTTAATTCTGCATCTGCTGGACTTGAGCTGTTCTCTGCTGACACCACACTCCCCTCCATTCACTCTGCAGAGAAACCCTTTGCAACCTTAGTCTTTAATAACCTCCAGGGGGTAGGAGGAGTCCAGCTAGACAGGTTGGGGCCAGTTAGGGAGGTGTCCCCAATGTGTAAAATTGCAATCAGGACACAAAGTAAGTTTCTAGGACTGGGACACACCTACATTCAGGTGTTTAGTGATGGGTTACATCCCAAAGCCAAATAGAAAGGGATTAACTACTGTTTCTGGTGATGCACATCTGTGAATAAGAGCTGAACTGATTCACACTTGCAACTAACTTTCCAAGTAGTTTCTAAAAGATTATTTACAGTAGCAAAAAAATTCAAAGAGTCACAAAAAATAACAACTCCCAAGTATCTGCCTGCTAGCTTAAGATATACTCTGACAACTAACTGAAATGTATGTCTTGGCGCCTGTGGCTCAAGCGGCTAAGGTGCCAGCCACATACACCTGAGCTAGTGGGTTTGAATCCAGCCTGGGCCCGCCAAACAACAATGACGGCTGCAACCAAAGAATAGCCAGGCGTTGTGGTGGGCACCTGTAGTCCCAGCTACTTGGGAGGCAGAGGCAGGAGAATTGCTTGAGCCCAGGAGTGGGAGGTTGCTGTGAGCTGTGATACCATAGTACTCTACCCAGGGTGACAGCTTGAGGCTCTGTCTCAAAAATAAATAAATAAATAAATAAATAAAATGTATGATTCTTGCTTGGATTCTGGATAGGGGAGAAAAGCTACCAAGATAGTTATTGGAACCACTGGGGGAAGGAAATTTGATTATGAGCTATGAATGGATAATACTGCATTGATGTTAAATTTCCCCAAGTGTGACCATGCCATTAAGAGAAGGTAGAGGAGTGTCCTTGCCCTTAGGAGCTACCAGCTACATCTTTCAGGGTGAGGTGCCATGATGACTGTAATTTTTACTCAGATTAGTAAAATATGTATATACACACACACACATAAAGAGATAAAGTAAATATGGCAAAAATGGTAACAAGTGGTAGATTTGGTGTGTGGCATCATTGTATTATTCTTTCAACTTGTTTGTGGTTTGAAATTTTTCAAAGTAAAAAGATGGTAGAAGAGAAAACAAATGCTAATTATATTTAAAAATTTAAATCTCTCAGGCAAAAAAAAGAAAAGGTAGTGGAAGTCCCATGTGGGGCTGTGTGAGGTGCACTGGTCCTCACGGTGTGGCCTCTCACGCCTGTGCAGACTCAGTGCGTGGTGAACCCGTGAGTCATCCTCTCGGTGATTCAGGTGCCAGTTTCTGTCTCTCCTGCCTGCCAGACGGGAATCCTTGAGAGGGTGGGGCAGGCCCAGGTCAGCTTCCTCAGGTCCCTCCCAGGTGATGTATTGTGCTAGGTGCATAGACAAGCCCCCAGAGAGCTGGCACTGCTTGATAAATTCCACCCCTCACTTCAGCCCTCCATTTCCAAGCCCACAGCCTCTTCTGAGACACCCCAGTCTTTCAGAAGTCACATCTTATAGCACCCCATGTCTCTTAGAATCTTCTTGGGCTGCTTTTACTCAGCCTCTACAGCATGATCTACATGCACCTCTCCATGGTGGGCTGGAGATGGGCCCTGCTCCAGATCTTCCTGGCAAAAACAATCAGCCCATTACTTTCATATTAGAACACACTTAGGCTCGGTTCCCATGCTCAGGGGTTAGGGCACCGGCCACATACACCAGGGCTGGCGGTTTGAACCCAGCCTGGGCCTGCTAAACAATGATGACAACTACAACAAAAAAATAGCCAGGCGTTGTGGCAGGTGCCTGGAGTCCCAGCTACTTATGAGGCTGAGGCAAAAGAATTGCTTAAGCCCTAGAGTTTGAGATTGCTGTGAGCTGTGATGCTACAGTACTCTACAGAGGGTGACACAGTGAGGCTCTGTCTCAAAAAAAAAAAAAAAATAGAATACACTTGACTCTGTGATGGAGCATAATGCAAAGTTTGGATGAATCCTAAAGCTAAACTGTGAAACATTAAAGACCTGCCCTGCTGTGGAAGGCCTGTCTGCCAGGGAGATGCATGGCCCCAGTGGCAGGTGGCTTACCTGGAGGGGACATTAGGAGAGTCAGATGAGATGGGAAAGGGGCAAGCACTTAAAAAGTGAAGGGCAAGCCACTGGGGGTCCCAGCTGCCCTCCTGAGAGGGAGATATGGAGAGGAGAGAAGTTAAGGGCCTGGCAGTGGGGCCTGAGCTCCCCCTGTAACCCCAGCCTCCAGTAGGTAGGCCTCTGCCAGTGTGGGGAACAGCCCCACACTATATCCATTCCATTCTCAAAGGTTTCTTTTCCTCCCTCCTGCCCCTGATTGCTCTCACACCCCCACCTCCTGGCCAAGGCAGAGGGTTCTCTTATACCTCATTTCAAGCCCAAGTCCCTCCTGTGTGCCCTCTGTCAGGTCATATGTGCCAAGTGCTCTGACTACCGGGCACAGCTGAAATATGATGACAACAAGCCCAACCGAGTCTGCTATGCCTGTTACACCTTTCTCACCGGAAACGTGCTCCCTGAGGACAAGGATGACAAGAGGCGAGGCATCCTGGAGGTGAGGATGCCATCCCCATGGCCATAATCCGCCCTTCTGTTCAGTGAGTGCGTGTCCAGAGATCACCACTTGCTGGTCACACAGCTCCTGCTCCCTCCTTCTCTTTCTGCCCACAGACTCCAGCCTCTTCCCCTCTGCCCAGACAGTGCTGGGCCTGTCAGCAAACAGAAGCAACTTTTGGCTGCAGGCTGTTTTCTAGGCTCTTCTGTCCTCCTCTCTGTCCCCATCTGATAATAGTGAGGCTCCTCTGGATGCTTCCTGTTCATATCCCCATGCCCTGCCCCAGCAGTCCCAGGAGGTGAAGAGAGCTGGTGTCACTGATTGCACTTTACAGATGGGGATACTGAGGCTCTAGGCCAGGCAGATTGGAGACTCCATTCTAACTAGAAGGGACTTCAGGGACCAACTAGTCCTAGCCCATAGAGACCCAGGTCCAGAGAAGTGACCTGCCCAAGACCACACAGCAAGTTAGGAGCTGGCTCTCTGATCTCAGCACAGATGTTCTTTCTGTTACCCTTGGGGCCTTACTGAGCAGCTCCCTGATGGGGTGTCAGCTGTGTTCAGCTTTGCACCACAGATACCATGTCAACCGGCCCAGCATCAATTACCACAACCCTGCTGCCCCTCTTTCACGAAGGCCAGGTTGATATCTCACTGGCCCTGGGAGCTGAGAGAAGATCCCAGGTTCAAGTTGGTTTCTTTCCACAGACATGGTCCCTTTCCAATCCTCCCCATCCTTCTATGCCCAGTCCCTGCCCAAGCCCATCCTGTCCACTAGGCAACACAGACTGCTCCTGACAATAGTTGGCCCCTTCTCGCCCCTTTCTGTTCCTGGAGCAACTCCCAGGTGCTCGTCCTCCCTGTGGGCACAACAGGCTGGCTGGGGTCTGACTGCAGCACTGCCTGTGGCCAGCTGTGTGACCACAGACACAGGATGGGACCTCTGAGCCTCAGGGACAAATAACACCACCTGATAGTATTGCTGCAAGATTAGAAATGGTGATTTTTGAGGCCCCAGGCCAATGTCTGATACTTGGTGGATGCTCTGTTCCCTGATAAGTCCCTCCTTCTGGTTTTAGAAAGGGTCCTCAGCAGGGCCTGACCGGAACCTGATGTGCAGTTTCCTGCAGCTGGCTGGGGACAAGTGGGGGAAGAGTGGCCCCCGAGGCTGGTGTGTGATTCCTCGGGATGACCCCCTTGTGCTCTATGTCTATGCTGCCCCTCAGGTAAGGCCCTGCTCTGCCCAGGTCTCAGCCTTCCCACAAGGGGTGTTGGGAAGGGAGTATCATTGGCCCCATATGTCAGATAAGGAAACTGAGGCCCCATGAGGACTTGGTACCCTTGAGTCCCACGGGATTAGTAGGTTTCAGTGTTGAGCCCAGACTCCATGTCACAAGTGCTTTAACCTCAGGAACGACCAGTTCACTCCTTCCTCGATGCTTTCCTGCCAGCTCACCCCTTTTCATGAAGGTTTGGGGTATGAGTGGTGACATGTGTCTGTTACCTTCACAATGGCTGTCCGGGGCGGTGGTGCTGACCAGAAGGACAGCAGCCTACCACTCTCTCCTCCCCTTAGGACATGCGGGCTCACACCTCCATCCCCTTGCTGGGCTACCAGGTAACTACTGGGACCCAGGGGGACGCCCGAGTCTTCCAGCTGCAACAGTCAGGCCAGCTCTACACCTTCAAGGCTGAGACCGAGGAGCTGAGGGATCGCTGGGTGAAGGCCATGGAGCGGGCGGCCAGTGGCTGGAGCCCCGAGAAGACCCATGATGGGGACCTGTCTGACTGAGCCACAGCCAGCTGCCCCCCTGCCCACCTCTTCCCACTCAGCTTGGCTCCTACCACAGCCTGACCCTGGGGCCTTGGTGACTTGACACTCCAAGCTGTGCTTTCACATAATCAGTTCTAGTCACTTGTGCCCTGACCATATGTCCTGATTGGGGATTCAGTGAATATGAGTCTATTCCTTTTTGGGAAGGGGACAACCAAGTATCCCAGTTTGCCCAGAGCCCTCCTGGGCTAAGGGACTTTTAGTGCTAAAACTAGGACAGTCCCAGGTAGCCCAGGATTGTTGGTCACCCAGTGTGGTTCTCAGCCAGGACTGCTCAGTAGTATCACTTGGAGAGCTTTAAAATATGCAGGTGGAGAACATATACATAAATTAGTTTAAAAATTAAAAATTACCAATGCCTGTATTGAAATACCACCAGAGGTTTCTGATTTAATTTAGTCTAGTCTGAGTTGTTTTTTTTAAGAGACAGTCTCACCTTATGGCCCTCAGTAGAATACTGTGGCGTCACAGCTCACAGCAACCTCCAACTCCTGGGCTTAGGCGATTCTCTTGCCACAGCCTCCCAAGCAGTCAGGACTACAGGTGTCTGCCACAACACCCAGCTATTTTTTTTTTGGCCGGGGCCGGGTTCAAACTTGCCACCCTCAGTATATGGGGCCAGCGCCCTACCCACTGAGCCCCAGGCACCATCCTACTCTGAGTATTTTTAAAGAGTACTCACATGAATCTAAGCAGTCTGGAGTATCTGGTATGAAGAAGAAAAAAAGCAAACAATCAATGTTTGGGTCCCTATCAAGTGCCAGATGTGTAATAATAACAGTAAATAATAAATGTCAGCTGGACCAGGCACAGTGCAAGGTATTTTATGTGGATTATCTCATTCTACCCTCAAGAGTTATAGTCTCCATTTTCCAGATGAGGACCCTGACTCAGAGAGGTTTAGTAATTGGCTAAAGGTTACACAGCTAGTTGATGCCAGAACCAGGTTTTAGTCTAGTGGACTAAGATCAAAGCTCTTTCCATCAGGTCTCAGAACAATAAACCAGGTGGGGAGGGAAGGAAAAGGAGGGGGAAAGATAGGAAAGGTGAGAGGAAGGGGATGGGTGGAACGCCTGTGTCCCACCTCACCCTACCCATGCCCCACTGGTGGGTGAGGCTACATTTTCATGAGAGACCACCAGGGTGACAGTGGTAAGCAGGTCACATCAGTGGCCCCCGCCTGGGCCTGGACACCCTCAGCTATTCCCAGCAGGCCCAGCCATTACTGGGCTCTGTTCTCGAAGGAGGAAAACTCAATGAGTCTTTGATCTTTGCCCCCTTGTAGGCCTAGCAGTTTGCCTGCCTCTAACCTGAGGCTAAGTCCCTCCTGTAGGATGGGGAGTTTTTGGTTTGTTTTTCTGTTTTTTTTTTTGAAACAAAGTTCCTCTGTAGCCTAGGCTAGAGTGCAGTGACATCATCATAGCTCACAGCAACCTTAAACTCTTGGGCTCAAGCGATCCCACTGCCTCAGCCTCCCAAGTAGCTTGGACTACAGGCCTCTGCCGCAATGCCCCACTAGTTTTTCTATGTTTAGTAGAGACTGGTACAGAACTCCTGAGCTCAGGTGATCCTCCCACCTCAGCCTCTCAGAGTGCTAGGATTACAGGTATGAGCCACAACCCCTGGCCATGTAGCATGTTTTTAAAAGCCCAAAAAACCGCATTGTAAAATCTTTCAGGGGACCAGGCTGGCCATGAGTTCATTTCTTCATTCCTTCATTCAACAAGTAAGGAGCATCTTCTAGAAGGCAGATGTGGTCCCTGCACTAGGGGTACAGCAGTTAATGAGACAAAAGTTTCTGCCCTTGTGGAGTTTACATCCTCGGCGGGGAGATAACCAACAAAATAAGTAAGTAAAATATAGAATACATCAGCTGTGATAAGGGCTTAAATGGGTGCCCAACCAACTGTACATTCCTGGATTTAAAACCCTAGTCTCAAGCACCAGAAAGCCTCTCTGCATGAGGTAAACTGGGACACCTTGTCACCCTGGCAGAAGGATGTCGATGTTCGTAACAACCTCAATGAAAGAAGTAAGGGAGGCAGGTAGTCATGCTGAAAGAGCATTCCAGGTGGAAGGGACAGCGAGTGTTTGCATGCACCATGCCTACTGCATGCAAAGACCAGTGGGGAGGTCAGTGTGGCTGGAGCAGGCTGCAAGCGGGACATTGTGGGTGGGGATGTCAGGACATCACTGAGAGCAGGTACAGAAAAGGCAGGTTGAGATATGGAGACCTTCCAAGGGCTGTGAGTGAGATGGGGTCTGAACAGGCTCCCTTTGGCTGCTTGCTAAAATAGAAAGGAGGTGAGGGCAGAGGCAATTAGGAGTCTATTGCAACAAACCAGGTGTGGTGGGGGGGGCCTGGCTTAGACACTTAGACCAGGAGTGAAACAGTGAAGGATTCTGAATTTTTTCTGAAGGTAGAGTGCATAAGATCCCCTTTCAGAGAGCCACGGATGACACCAAGGTCTCTGACTGGAGCCCGTGGAAGATGGAGCTGTCCATCACTAACCAAGTGAGAAGATGGTGGATGGAGCGTGATGTAGCAAACATTGGGAGCTCTGATGTGGACAAGACACAGTGGAGTGCCACCATGGCCGTGTCAAGCGGATGGGAGTCTGAGTTCAGGGAGCAGGTCTGGGCCAAGGCTATCATCCTATAGATGGAATTTTAAAGTGTGAAGAAGGGGTTCAGGGACTGAGCCCTGTGCACCCAGCATTCTAGAAATGAGCACCCCAACATTCTAACTGTCCCCCCCCATACTAACCATGAGCACCCTCTCATCCTACCTATATGCACCCAGCACTCTACCTGTGCGCCCTTGACCTACAGTTATAATTCTGAGAATTTACCCCAAGGAAATAGGCCAGTACAACACGATGCATCTGTGAGCTGTTCGTGGTACATTTACAGTTGTCTCCCAAATAGGAAAGTACATAAATATCCATCAAAAGGAGATTCATTGAAGAAAATTATGGGCTGGGCAAGGTGGCTTATACTGTAATTCTGGCATTTTGGGAACTGAGGTGGGAGGATTCTTAGAGCTCAGGAATTTGAGACCAGCCTGCACAAGAGCAAGACCCCCTCTCTACCAAAAATAGAAATATTAGCCAGGCATTGTGGTAGGTGCCAGTCCCAGCTACTTAGAAGGCTGAGACAGGAGGATTGTTCAAACCCAGGAGTTTGAGGTTGCTATGAGCCAGACTGATGCCATGGTACTCTAGGCTGGGGCAACAGAGTGAGACCATCTCAAAAAAAAGAAAAAGAAAAAGAAAAATATACCCATTAAAAGGGAAATCATTAGATAAATTCTGATGAATTTATGCAATAGAGAACTATGCAACTGTTTAACAAGAAGGCTGGCTTAGATCTTAAGGTATTGACATGGAACAATGTCTGTGATATATTAAATGCATAACTACAGAAGGAGAGAGAGAGCATTCTTAAACACTACAGATAACTACAGAAGGAGAGAGCATTCTTAAACACTCACAGTGCGGGGTGGGCACAGTGGCCCGTGCCTGTAATCCTAGCACTCTGGGAGGCCGAAGCAGGTGGATAGCTTGAGCTCACAAGTTCAAGACGAGCCTGAGCAAAAGCGAGACCCTACCTCTAGTAAAAACTAGAAAAACTGAGGCAAGAGGATTGCTTAAGCCCAAGGGTTGGAGGTTGCCGTGAGCTAGGATGCCAGAGCACTCTACCCAGGGCGACAGCTTGAGACTGTCTTAAAAAAAAAAACCCACTCACAGTGGGCCAAGTACTATGCTAAAGCCTTGGTAGAAATTATTTCATTTAATCTATTTAAAATTTTTTTTAACCTGGGAGATAGATTCAAGTTGCTCTGCATGTGTATACTCTCTATTTCATTTAATTCTTAATAACATGGCTCGGCGCCTGTGGCTCAAGCGGCTAAGGCGCCAGCCACATACACCTAAGGTGGCAGGTTCGAATCCCCAGCCCGGGCCCGCCAGACAACAATGATGGCTACAACCAAAAATAAAATGGCCGGGCGTTGTGG